TAATTGTCTTTGTAATATAAATCAGCACCAAAGTACATTTTAACTTGAGCCATTTCAATTCAGTCTGATGCTCAACTAATGGAGGTCTGCATACTGAAAGTCAGACTGTCTGAGAGGCCCTAATAAAATGCTGCTTTTCTAAGGAAATACAGTAAAAAGATTAGGTGACACAACAAACTTCTTACAAATGAGATTTTAGACATTGGGTTAAATCACAAATTTGTCTTAGAAATGTAATATTTGCTTAGGGTTTCTGAATGTTGGCTTGCAAGAGGAATTCTTTCATTGCTTTTCAGTAATTTACTCAATTGTGACTCACTCTCATAACTGAGGACAAGAGCTGAAAATGGGCTATGGCTAAGCAAAACATCACATTGGTTACATTTGATTTAAATTTTAAAATCTCTATATTTATCGCCCCAATCATATTAATGAGTAAATAAAACAAAATACATTTTGGGGCATTCTACTTCCCATTTTCTCTTGTACATTTATTCTAAACACATTTTTATTTTGTACCTCCACAGCTCCAGTGTCGGCTGGGCGCCGGGTTCAGGGCCAGAAGATCTCCTGGTGGGAGGGACAGAAGGGGCTGGCCTTCCTCCAGGACGTCCAGCTGGTGGACGGGGAGCTGGTGGTCCCAACGCCCGGCCTCTACTACGTCTACGCCCAGACGTACTTCAGACACACCCACTCCCTGGAGGAGGAGGGCGAGGACGAAGAGGAGGCCCAGGACAGAGGGAGACCCCTGCTGCAGTACGTCTATAAAAAGGTGAGGAGGGGGACATCATGTTTTATACTCTCGCATGATGTCGGGTGATTCTGCAGCTTATCCCTCAAATGTTTTTATCATATGGCTTTACCTTCATTTGACCCTTGTGGATTTTCTGACTCGCAAGTCATTTTAATTTAAAATGTAACCTGCCCTTTCCCTCGTGTAGATGTGTCACATAGTTATTCTGCAAATTCCTTCATCACACTTTGTTTAGCCTTTATTCGACCTGACAGTAGAGACACAGACATGTAACATAAGGAGAGGCAGGGAGAGGTTGTATGCAACAAAGGGGTCTGGACAGAATTTAATCAGACTTGTTTTACATGTAATGCAAGTTGCCGTGCACATTTAGAACGTGCTCCTTTTAAATTAGTTTTTGTGACTGAACACGGCAGACTGATGATTCAGATATTTTGACAAATGACTAATGAATCCAGTCATTGAAAGCATCTGTTGTCTCACCACGTGGCAAACAGCCAAAACAATCTCTTTCTGCTTTGTCATGAGAAAACACAGGCTCTATTTAAAGCTGTTAAAGTAAATAGTTTATAATCACAATGATAAACAGTTATTGTGAAGTTTCCCAATGATGTAATACAATGATGACCCAGCCCAAAAGTCAGTGAGGTGAAGCCAAATTAATTTGAGTTAAGTTAGAACAATAATCTAGTTCTTTTTTCATACTTAATACGTTTTGAGGGAATTCTTGGACCGAATAATGTTGAGGAAAAGAAATAATTAAAACTAAACGCACATGATTGAAGACGATAAGATATGTTCATAGTTTGGAATGATGCCAACTGGCAATCAATCAATCAGCTGATTTAGAGATGGTAGTGGTGCACGGGCGATGCTAGTTTAATAAAAAGAAGGTCTTTTAGGTCTTATTCTCAGTATCTCACCTCACTCACCTCTCCTCCCCGTCAGATGGGCTCTTACCCAGTTCCCATCCTGCTGATGAAGACGAGCCGAACCTCCTGCTGGTCCCGGGGATCCCAGTTCTCTCTGCACTCGGCCCACCAGGGGGGGCTGTTCCCGCTCAGCACCGGCGACCGCCTGTTCGTCACGGTTACCAACGCCTCCGCGGTGGACATGGACGAGAAGAGCAGCTTCTTCGGGGCGTTTCTCATCAGCTAGACGGTCAGATCCGGGACTCTAAATTGAGCGATCTCGGTCGTAAAGCATCGGTCTGGAAGAACCTGCTGCCGCCTCTAGACCCCTCCTTACAAGGAACACAAATGAAAAACTGCAGCAAGTAGCATGGAGAAAAGCTCTTTTGTCAGGATCTCAAATCAAAAATATATTTGACAACACTGGTTTCACATGCGATGTGAATGTCTAAGAGCTAATCGATCAACAAATATTTGTTCTTAAATGTATTGAAGTTGATGCGGCTAGAACTCAACAGAGATTTGAGTTTCTGTTGTACCGACATTTCTTTAAGGCATACTTCAACAATTTAAAAATGTTATTACTTAACGAAGTTCCATTTGGTCTAACTGGTCTCGAATAGCTTTAGTAAAACCTTAAACAAAATATTTTTTAAAAGTTTACAGAACTTACTTTACGCTTAATTCACGCAGGTTAGCGTCCGTACGCTATTTTGAGCTGAGCTTTCCTAACGGTGTGATCGGCTCTCAGATTTTCCACAAGAGGGAGCTGTTTTTACGGCTAACTTTCAACTTATTCAGTGACATTCTCACATCATGCCACCTTTAGGAAAAGTGAGTTGTAGCAGTTTAGACTTTTATGCTTTAATTAAACTCAATCCATTTGATTGATTTATATCAAATGCCCTTAAAGTTGGAGTCCCTGCCTTAAAGAATTGTTTGTATGAATCTTCAATCAGCTGAATATCAGTGATGATCTGAGTTCCTGGATGTGTTTGTAAAAATATGTAAATATTGTGCAATATTTTGTGTTTTTTATTTTTCTAATAAGTTTGCAAAAATCTGGGTCTTGAGGTCTTAATGATCTATTTTTCTCTCCTTAATGTCCCCTCAGTAAGATGTCAAACATAAGGCTTAAGCATGAACTTCTGAGACAGTTTACTGACCACGTGCTACTGCTAACATTAAAACCGTAACAGTCACATTGAAAGATTAAAGGTAGAAAATCACCACCTTTTTCTTGATGTGCTTTAAAAAGTTTTACAATGTTATAACGGTGCTCCTTATAAATCAGGCTCTGTGTTTTGGTTGGCAGCAGCACCACAGTCTCTCTGCTGTTGGCTCTTCCATCCTAACCCCGCTCCAAATGGTGCATGTAATGCTCCCTAAATGGTCGGTTTTCTGTCATTCGGCAGATGTGACCTGCAGACTTGGAAAACAATCACGCGCATCAGCATCCAAACAGCAGGAATGTGGGATGTATTGCTTTTGTGATGTATTCAACAGTTTGTAATAAATACTGCAGTAAAGCAAAAAACTAAAAGGATGTCCACAATAATGAGTTCCAATTAAGTCCTCCTTTTTCTATTTACAATGACATGAATGCAGCATTCACTGTCTGTCGCACTTGAGTCACAACAAATTACCTTTTTTAATTTCTTGTTTTTGCAAAAAAATTATAGCGGTTTTCAAGTTGTTTCCATCATCAAAATTAAGTGAGAAATATCAATATAATTTCAAAAGGTGGTTTGAAGTTGATAAGATAAGGGCCTTATTGTGAGGTTATCAGCACTGTTTTTTACACCTGAGGAGTGATTTAAATGCAGCCAGTACCTTGGGGTATGCTCGCCATCCATTGGATAACCTGGAACATCAGTCAGCCTTTTTTGTAGCTTGGAACACCTGAAAAAAGGCATCAAAAATAAAACCTGTACACTCATGAGGTTGTAAACAATCAAAAACTGAATGTGAATGTAAATAAGCATGTGGTTTTGTCTGTGAATATGTGAAATAAAGACACTGTCAAAGTCCTCTGATGCCCATAGAGAAGATCATTACCATCATCTTTTTCAAACAGATTTGTATTGTTTTATTTGAGTGAATACTAGGTTCATAGGTTTTGAGTTAACAGTATTGAAACCTTTAAAAAGCAGATGGCGAGGGTTTTGTAGAGTTTATCATTTTTGAAATTCACACTATTACTTAAAAAATGCAACCTCAGTTGAAGGATATAAATGTGGACCTTTGCTGATTAAAGCATGCTGTAGTGAAGAATTGTGCAACGTGCATTAAGCTTTAAGAGCCCTGCAGTTTGTCAAAATCAAGAGATCAAAGCGGCAGGGACTCAGTCAGCGAAAGCCTGGAATATTTCAAATCCAACTCCAAAACACCACGGATCGGTCTTTCATCTGGATCGCTTTCTTCCTAGATCTCTAAAAGCTTTTGTTTTAAATAAGTCCCTTAGTAGTTGGTGCAGTTAATTTACCAGATGAACAATACTGTAGACTTTGGAAGGATTTTTGTCACTTATTAAGGGTTTTGTTCCAAGCTACTCAAAAAGGCGAGATAATTAGGATGTGGACAGAATAAAAACCTTCCTTGCTCAGTCTTCTTAATAAGATTTGTTGGAAGTTCGCTGATGTTTGAAAGGGAGTTCTGCCTTCTAGTAGCTAATGATTGATTATGCAACATCAGGGTATATGCAGGAATCCTGAAGTCAAATGTAGTGCCTTGTAAGACCTTTTTTAAGACCCTTTCCATACATTTTAAGACCTCATCGGCACTTCGAGTTTTAACCGGTTACATTGGCGATACACTTTACCTCACATTTACTATATACAGTATTGATTGTCCTTCCTCCTTATCTTCCAACCATTTGGACGCAAACTTGCATTTCCCCATAACGATGTTGTTTAACAACCGGCGTAAACGGGCCTTCGCGCGCTATCAAGCAGTGAGCGCGCGATGTCCTGTTCAGATGACGTCAAACCCAACGGGATGCCATCAATAAACTACACAGAATCACACTACATACCTACGCCATGATTACATTCAGGCAGACTGTAGAATACAACCTCTTTGGACCATTCATATACTTATTGAAAACAAGCTACAAAATGTAATACCTTGGAAAATGCAGTTTAATACTTTTTAATAGCCTTAATTTTCGCTAAATTGATTCATCAACTTTTAATACTTTTTAAGACCCCGCGGACCCCCTGAACATAAAGCGTAATGCTGCCCTCTAGTGGATTGATTGTAGCTTCTCAGGAAACTGCTGTCAGGAAGCTTCAGACTACAGAAAGAGGGAAACAAATAATGACACAACACTTTTGTAAATTTTTGATTTTCTTTCTTTTCTGTGGAAATATGTTACAGTTATATTACAGGTATTTAAATGCCCGAGGGAGAACAAAAAACGTTTTGGAGACTAACACTAAGAAGGAGACAGCAACTTAACTGAGACAGAAACAGTCCAGACTGAATCGACACATAACCGGTGTTAAGAGATGTCCAATAAATACTGCAAATGTTGTTAACGCAACTTATTAAACACAGAAACTGAATAACAGATGAGGAAAACAGGGTGTGCTGTCCTTCTAGTGTCCTCTGTGGTTTTTAGCAGCATGTGTGAAACCCAAAACTTGTGAATAACAATGTGCAGAGCCTGCAATCAACCAGAGTTTTAAACACAGAAGAACATGTCAGAAATACGGTGGTTTTAAGCTAAGTGAGAAAAGTGCTTAATACAAGAACACGCAAACAGGACAACTTGCATCGTCAACATATATACCAGCAAACCAGGGACAGAAGTGCTGTCCCCCACCAGCCAAAATGGTTGGTTTACTCCAAAAATCACGACTTTTTCAGTTTCATATAAGTTTTTTAAATATACAATAACATTTAAGAATAATGTTTAGATGTCTGACAATGACTCACAGAGTATAAACATTCAACAGACGACACTGAAACTGAATTTGGCTGGTGGTGTGAAATTCATAAACTGGTACTTGCAGCAAAAGATATCAAAAATGTTATAACTGTGAACGTTTTTAACTTTAACAGTTATGTTCAGGACTTTTCTTTCATTTATAGTGGTCTACTGAATAGACAAAATACAATCTACATTTTACCCGTGTGAAAATATTCTGGTTGAATCCAGGTCTCCCCCTGCACCATCGGTTTTGAATGTAACTTATAAAATATTTAATAAAATGTCTTCTTAAATGGGAACTGATTCCTCCATGTACAAAAAGTTTCTTTATATAAATTACACAAGTCTCTGATGATGTCTTAGTTTCTGCTAATACAGTTCATCTCCAAACCAAAGCCTTCCCCTAACACATACACACTCACATGCTCACTCACACACATACACTCCCAACCTAGCTACACAACATGCTCTACACATGACCCATAGTAGAGGAGAAAACGAAAACTATCCCACTGAAAGGAAATCTCTGCGCATACAGTAACGCTACATCTCCTCCTCTCTCTCTCTCTCTCACTGTTTCTGTATGCAAGACCACAAGCATGGCGCAGTTTCTGACGATGGACGGAGGACGCCTCCTCAGCCTCAGCTGGTGACCCTCACCATCGCCTGTCACTGTAGCTGCCTTCTTCACGCCCAGGTGAACGACCCCCTGCTAGCGGGGCGGGGAATGTGCGTAACGACTGCCCAGAGGAGGGCGGGACCTCAGCAGTCAAAACGCATCTCCAGTGAATCCTCAAAGGCCCTGTTGTCGTGCCCCGCCCCCGATAAGAAGCTGGCCGTGACGGGCGTCCCTGTAGCCGTGGTGACGTTGAGAAGGGTGTTGCCGGGGGAGCTGGTGGCCGGGCGGAGGGCCGCCGCGGTGATACTGGTGAGGTTGATGCCTAGCGTGAGACGAGTCTGTTCCAGAGCTTTCTCCGGCACGGCGAAGGCTTCCAGCTTCTTCTCTCCGTTGGCCATGTAAGAGTTCTGGCAGCCGCGGCAGATACAGTCCAGACATGCCTACAGAACAATGATCATAATTAATATCAGCAGTTACGTAAAAGTCAAGAATGAGCCGTCAACAACAATTAAGCCGAATAAGGAATATTTGTTTTTGAAGCAATTGCAGTAAAGTTTGAACTTCTACAGCCCTGTGAAAAAATCAGCATTATATATCTGCTGACGTGGACCATGGGTCGGGTTAGAAGCTCCAGAACAAGCAAGTCAATAAACCTTGATTGAGCAAGTTTTGTAAAAACAAAGTAAAAAGGTTCCTGGCGCCCTTGTTTATTGACAATCTCTACGGTTTCACCACATTAAAAACAAGGCAACTGTATCATTACATTCACAGAAAACAACAGGTTACTTTTGTTTAATTTAAACATCTGCAAAATAGTCTTCAACAGTCATAGAAAAGGTCATGTTTTCTCTCCCTGAATATTTAAATGTTTTTAAAAATATCTTTATGTTAGTTAAATATTTTATGTTAGTTAAATATTTTATGTTAGTTGAATGTTGTTAAACTAAATTCAGACATTCATGGTGTCATTTTTAGCTGAAACGATTGCACGTGTGTTGAGTATGTGTGGGAGTTTGCAATGAAAAGAAAATCACTATTAGAGGTAGCTTCGGTTTTAAAAGTGTGGGAACTACTTCTATAGAGGACTCACTTCCCTAATAGCCAGAGCTCTTTATGACTGAGTCAACAATCATTCATCCTCATGCCTGACTGCCACAGAAACTATACATCAGTTAGCTGTAATGAGCCCCTTGGTGGCAATTAAATCTGTTAATATGTATGCTGTTAGCGGTGAAGCATATCCAAACATTAGTGGTTTTAACAGCAAACTGGAGTGTGTGTGTATGTGGGGGGGTTTTCAGCATTGTGCTCACCTTGCGGTTGGAGTAGCAGGGGCAGCGCTGCCCTCTACAAGTCAACACTGAGGGGTTCTGTGTGGCTCGGCCGCACTTGCAGCCTTTCTTTTCCACAGGCTTTTTATACAGTGGCTTCGAGGGGCTGGGTGGGTGTGTCAGAGGGTGAGCATGGGGGTGTTGGGGTATCCTGTCACGGGTTTGTGTACGGGGTTTGGGGGTCCCTTGCCTGGCCTTGGTGTAAGCCTTCTTGGGGCCCCCGTGATGCTCCACAGTCTTTTTCAGCGCCTTGTTGGAAACGAGCACAGTCTTGCCCACCTTGGGAGGACCACCATTCGGCACCGGGGCCAGGTGTGGGTGAGGCGTGACTGCCGGGTACTCAGGCTCCTGTTTGGTCGTGGCACCAGGGTGAGGGTGATGAGGGGAGCTGTTGGCACCGAGGGGAGGCCCCCGTAACAAGCTGGAAATGGGGAGGGGCTGCACCTTCTCGCTGTCGCTTTCTGAACGGGAGCGCTTGCGGTGGTACCGAGGGGGGACGTGGGGGGTGACAGTGGAGGGCTGGGGGGGAGGCTGCAGGGAGGGCTGCGGGTGAGGTTGGAGGGGGCGAGGGCTGTTCCCTTGAGGGAGGCAAGTGATGAGGCGGGAGGAGTCAGGTGGAGAGTGAGGCCCGTTGAGGCTGGACTGAGGTACTGAGGGGGGGCAGTCCAGATGGGGGAGGGGATCAGGGTCTGTATCAAGAGTCCTGAGCACCTCCTCCACGCTCAACAACAACGGCCCCCCACTATGTTTCAGGTCATCACCAAAAGTGCTGATTTCACAGAGCCCCGCCTCCCCTTTGACGCTCACACACACAGGAATCTCCTCCGATAAGCTCTCCTGCTTTGCAGCGCCTACACCCGTCTCTATGGTGACAGGCTGCAAGGAGTCCAAACTGACCAGACCGTTACAATCATGCAGCCCGTTCACACTGACGGTGCTTGGCTCCTCCACCTTGAGCTCCTCCACCTTGAACTCCTCCACCTTGAGCTCCTTTGTAGGCGGAGCTTCATCAGGCTGAACCACGTTGGAGCTGGAGGCCGTGGGCGACAGGCTGGCTGAATCTGAAACGTCCTCGGCCTCCGGCTCGCTCTCAGCCAACGTGAGGCCCTCGTTGAGGATGGCCTGGAGGTCCGGCGAGTCGCTGGCGGCGCTGGCTATGTGCGGGGCGAGCGGCGACTGCGTGATGTAGAGACAGAGCTTCTGGTAACAGTGCACCAGCAAGGAGAGCTGCCTGTTTTCCTCAAAGCGGGAATAGTCTTTACACCAACTACATGACGGCTTCAACTGCATCCTCTGACCCTTACAGCCTCGACAGACGTAGTGCTGACATGATGAGTTGGTGGGAGCGATAGGGTCCTGCAGCAGATTACCTGAAGATCAAAGAGAGAAAGAGCAAATGTTTAAAACATGAATACATACACAGGAATAGTGCAGAGCAGCTCCCACTGATGATTAATTCACAGATGATCACAGGAGCCAGTTAAAGCAACACAGCCTGACATCAATAGAAGTGTTATCTAAGCAACAAATGTCACATGAATGTCCAAACAAACCCACATCCAATACATTATAACCGTGGATTTAAAACTGTCAGTGTAGCTGCATTTTTTTGCGGATTTACAAAGCTTGCTTCCTCATTTGATGTTTTTTTGCTTCGTAAACTGATGTGTATTTGTTAACCTGAGCGGTGCCTGGCAACTTGCCAGACTGGATGACAACCGCTCTTTGAGAGGAGCTTCCTTAGCAACGCTGGTCGCTAGGTAGTGCAGCTGCAGATTGGGGGAAAAAAGCATGAAGGTCCATTCATGAGAAACAACAAACCTTACACTCTACACGGCCTGCCTGATAAATCCCACATAACTGCATATAATCTATATTTAACACGATGTCTGGACTGCTTTTATATTGATTTATTATTTATATAGTGGAGGAGGTTATGTACGAGTCCTTTAATAGAGTGGTAGCAATCACAACAAAACACTCTGCTTTACCCTTTATGGTTAGGGGGGAGAGTTACTACATTATGGATGAGCAGTGAAAACCATGCATTAGATAAACCACCAAAATAAATCAAAGATGAGTTTTATTCACAGAAAAAAGGCTCCCTCGCTCGAATAACAGACAGTTTTATATTACATTTACAGACAGTAATATATCACGGTTTGATTAGACCCCGTTAGGTACTACTCTACTTTTTGTTGAGCACATATTTGATTTGGTTGTGTATTTGGGGATTACGAGGGTACGAAAGAGATTAGGTGCATGATATAGTGTGAGGCTATTCAACACGATAAACAGAGAAACGCCCCGATGCTGCCTAACAGAGGGGGGTGTGTCACGGTGGGTGTTGCTGAGAAATATGATGCGTTCAGCGCGCTTCGGAAAACGTGGTTTCGTCTCATCATAAACATGACCTGTAATTCATTTAAGTGAAGCTGCTATGACGTATAGTCCAATGCTTGACAACATCATTCAGAATGAGTTGATTTCAATTCGATGTGTGTTACTAGTTGATGTACATTTAAGCAGCAATGTATTGTTGCAGCTGGTTTAGGGAGAATATCATATGTATTCTGTATTAGTCGGTGAGTTTTATAGTAATAGGATCAATTACTATCCAACAAAACATGTTATAAGGCAACATAATTCCACCATCTGTCAAAGCAAATGTTTAAAAACATATTAAACAATGATTTCCTATTATTTATTTTGCATTGCTCAATTCAATATATTTTACTGCATTATTTATTCCATTTGTTTTCTCCTATTTGTATCGTTATTATTAATTCACCACAATAATACTGTTTGCAAGTACCTTTAACTGAAATGAGTACTTGCTTGCTCCACACCACTGTGGATTGTTGGTTTATTTGTCATTACTAGTTCCGATTTATATATTTCCGACTGTAAGTGAAAGCAGCCTTTTTTTAAAGGTTCGCTCCCACTGCAAGCACAGCTGACAACAAGGCACACAAAAAACACCTTTCTCTCCACTATCACATTTGTAAAATTAATAAAAATCCACACAAACTTACCACAGACAAGGCAGGAAAGGGACTGGCGGAAGAAGGGCAGCAGCTTGCAGAGCTCCGCGAGGGCCCGGGGGTCTCGGGGGTCGCACTGCAGCACCGAGCGGCTCGCGGACACGTAGAGAGAAGTCGCATTCACCGGGTTCATCTCAGCTGCCTGTCCCGGGGCTCCGGTCCGATGTATTAATACGTTAAAACACCAAAATCACACAAACAAACCGATGGAGGCAGCGGTAGAGCAGCGACTCCCGTGCTCTGTGCGCTAAAATCACTGTTTTTGTCAATGGAGTCTGGTGGCTTTGAAGAGAGCATAGATGGATGTAAAGGGCTTCAATTCCAAGTTGGTAAATCCCACATATGTAAGAGTCTGCGCAAGGAGCAATCGAGGTTACTCATCCCAAATCACATACTCAAAGTAATGTCCCAGCTCTGAAAGTACTGCTGCTTTTGATCGGAAAGATTAGAAATGCATCCACAATCAGGCCGATCATGCATATAAACATCGGCTCATCCACGTCGATGTGTCTTGTTTCCATACAGTCCGTGAGTTATGATTAGACAAAGCATCATGTGGCGCTCTTTCCTCCGTTAGTGGCCTTACTAACGTTGCTTACAGCTGGATGGCTAGCAGCAGACACTCGGAAATTCAAACAGGGGCTTTCGTGGCAAAGTGCTCCGGTTTGCAGTGGTTTGCCCCGATAATGCCATAGTCCACATGCATGCTGGTCCCGTGCTCTCACGTCGGTCCAGAGCTGGTGTCAAACAAAGCATTTATTATCTCACACGGAGGCTCCAATTTGGCCAGGCAGTGCAGCCCCAGCAGGCTCGTTATGGTTGTGTTATTGTTCAGATTCAAGGCGGCTTGAAAACAAAACAGGCCGCCTCGGCTCCAAATGGTCCTCTTGGGTGAAACACATCAACAGCAGCACGTCGACATGAAGCGGGGAAGCTCGTGAAGAGGTTGTGGTTAATAAAACAAAAGTAATGTCAAAGCTCTAACGCTTTTTTTTTGGTGTTAAGAAAAATGAACCAGCACAAGCACCGAGCTCTGGTGACAGTGCTTGCCGCCTGAGGTGTACCAAAAGCCGGCTACAAAAGAAGGCCGCTCCCCCTCTTCTCGGGATTAGCGAGACTCTCTCGTACTCACTAGTCGCCTACGCGGGAATGTAACAGCAAAATCAAGTGTTCGGACGAAATTATGTCCTGCTGCAGCTTTTGGTAGACCCCCAGAGTGCCAGGGAAGAGCGAAAGTGAAATAAATCCGTATTTGTGTACCTTGCTATCGTTAGCCGCGGAGTATTCCTCATATCTCCCGTCGCTTTTCCACACACAAACAAGGGGGCGCTGTTGCTCAGATCTCGCGAGAACACGTAACGCGGTCATTTTTAAAAATACAATGGAAAGGCCACACATGGTGGAAACTATTTTTAGATGGAGTAAACACATTTATTTCACAATGGCAACAGTAAGCAATGCATGGTGTCACGTTTGTATTAGTCTTTTAAAACAGATACTTTTATTGGTGTTAAGTTGTTATTAGTCTTTTAAAACAGATCATTTTATCTGTAATATTACAATATTGTAAATTGTATCTATTTCTTTAACTGTTTCAAACGATATCCGGGAATTCTACATTGTTTGAATGTAAACCTTTTTTTTTTTAAATTCAAAACTGTCAAATGTTGTCAAATAAAAGAGAACAAAATCAGCCTGAATCATTCAACATGTCCCATTAGTTTGTGTTGTGTCATCTCCAAGTCATTTAGTCATTATGAACCCCCCAAAATTAACATAATAATACAGAGGAAATTGTCTTTAGTGGTAACAAGGTTCCAGCTTGTTTAAATGTGATAACATTATGCAATTCAAAGAAGAGATCGCTGTGAGGTGCTGTCAGAGAAAGAACAAGGTGAACACGTAAGGTGACAATATGAAAAAGCTGAGTCACCATGGAAACCTTTAGCAAATTCTGTTTAACTGTTAAAATAGCTACAGACAAACGCCCTCCCAAATGTATACTGATAATAATGTTGACACACTTGCATGATGCAACACACATATACTATCTATCAATGAACCTTGCCCATATCTTTCTTCCTCTTTTTCTTTTGTCTTGACTCTGTTCATACGTGAGGCCGCTGACCAGCAGGGACTTTCCACTTCAAGGGTGTAGTTTAGGCAAACAATACCCCACATTGTTAACTATGTGTTGCTTTTGAATGACATTAGAGCTGCTACAACTAGGTAACAATTACTCAACTTATCAATCAACTTAAAGGTGAATTATGTAAGTAAATTAATTAAATAGTTTTCAGGTCAGACAAATCAAGCAAGTTTAAATCATAAACATTAGCTTGCAGATATGTAAATGATTAATTGAGTTATCGGTGGATTAATTAATAGTTGCCCCAGATTTATAAAAAATATGCTTTTCAGAAGTACGCACTAATCTTCATAAATCACACTGAATTTTATTAATTATATGTTGAATTTTGCAGCAAGATATTTGAAAGTTTTCAGTCCAATTCAGTCAGAAAAATATGACATGACACTGGTGACTTTTACAGAGAGTACAAATTAAAACATATCGCTCGTAAAGACTGTGAGATGCTGGTGAAAGCAAAGCAAACTAAGTGGACTTTTGAATAAAAAAACGAATTGGTCGAACACTGTTAGATAATTTCACAGGCCTGGACAAGTACTTTAAATATTTTTGGTTGAAGCTACATTCCATGTATGCGAGTAATTCCTCTTTTCGGGTTTCCAGAAGCCTCTCGTGCTTTTATGACTGTTTTAAGCTATAGTGGTAACAGTGGATGTATAAATAGAGTTAGTGTGTGAGTCAATGAGAGTTATTTTAAGTGTGTCTCCATACAGGCTCATACATGTGGGTTTCCTCTCTTCTTGCTCACAACAAATTATAAGAAAACCTGAATTGTAATAATTTCCACCCTACTGAAATAATGCACGTAATTGGCTTTATGACCTCATTGTTCATTAGAAAAGAATTAGTCAACATACTTAACTATTGCACTCTATGACCTTATGTTACACAGTAGTAGCTGTGGTATGAATCAAGGCACAGTCATTCACCAAATATGGCAGGAGTTGACACCTGTCATTCAGCTGCCTTAATGAAATAAAAACTGCTTAACAACAATCTAATTATTATCTTGTGATTATAATTTTTTTGTTGATTTTCTGTAACTGAGAATGACCTTGAGTAACACGAATGGCGCACGTTTGATTATGAAATGTCAACAAATTATTTCATATTAAATGTTTTTAGTGTTTGTACATCAATAGTGTGAATGTTGGTGGGGATAGTGAATGAACAATATGCTCTTACCTGCGTCAATAACCACTTTGGAGGAGGTACTTGGCACCCAGGTTTAGCAGTTATTTCAGTACCACAGGAAGAGCGTAAACTGGGTTCTGCAGGTTTGAAAAAGAAAGGGTTGGAAGAAACACAAATCAGTTAAAAATGAACATAATTGTGCAAATATCTTAAACATTTTTCTTCTACTGACACATGAAATAGTTCAAATTAATCCTTGACTTCCCTTTCTGACCAGTTCATAGTTACGACACAGGAAAACGTACATGTAGGTGTAACCGCCCTAGTTGGGTTAAACCTCAGTGTATGAGCTCTTTTTCACAAGAAAATTACACAATACATTTTAAACTAATTAATTCATGACCTTATTCTGACCTTTAAGAGAGCTCAAGCGTCTCCTGCTTTACGTCACTTGTATTTTGTTTCCCTTAATACATAATACTGATATTAAACATCATGATTTACAATTATTGGAACTAGGAGATCGTAAGCATAAAAAATAACCCCAAATAAAAGGTATGATGACAGATGTGCAATGAGGTGTTTTGTATATCATCGTGTCATTTCGGTTCAATTTTGATACAAGTATTAGTGAGAGGGGGGGATGACAAGTTCTGCAGCAACAACACAGAGAGAACAAGCACACTTTATATGGACATGTTGGAAAAACTACTACCTTTTTTTAGCATAAGACCTTCTGCCCCCCCCCCCCCCCGCCTTGTCACCTCCGCAGCATTATTGTTTCCATTCTAGGAACATGTGCATGACTACAATGGTTCCTCTTTTAGTGTGAAACTGAGGTATATAAGATCCCAACTGTCCAGTTCATTCATCATTACACTCCGTAGAGTTACAGAACTACAAAGCGCTTTAAAGCTGAGATCCAGAGTCACTTTGAAGATTTGAAGATGAGTACAACGCGATCTGTCACCCGTTGGATTTTGCTGCTCACCCTGGCTGTTGTGATGCTCCTCTCTGTATCAAAAGGTAACACTGAACTTAATTGAATTTAAACCTCTTTGAATGTTGATTTATGTAAAACGTGTGTCTTAGAATTTGAAGAAATTTGATTTGGATAATCGGACAATAAGAGGAATTTAGGATGTCCTAATTGGCTCTTAGAAAATCATAATAATATAATATTAACATTTTCTGAGATATAATTGGCAGATTAATTCATTAAAATAATCATTACCATCAGCCCAGTCAAAGTGGCAGTTACAGAATCCAAAGATATTGAATACATAATCCAAAATGGGTGTTGATACACCAATTTATGGATTCTAACGGCATCAATTATGATGAAAATGAAGGGAAAAAAAGTAAATATACAACATTTATATTTTCTTCAAGTCAATCAATTTACTTTCATACATTTTAGTCTAGTTTATCTAGTATTAGATTAACAACTGAAATAAAATAATAGAATAGAAAAAGTGTTGTTAGTTTAAGCCAAATTTAGTAATAATGCTATTTGATTCAGCCATAAAAAATAATTTGCAGTAATTCAGGGAACTGTAACCATGGCTACAGTGCGCCTTGGAGGAATCTTCTAGTGTGACATGTTTCTCTACACTACTGATGTAACGCTGAATAACAACGTATCTATTGCGTGTGTGTGTTGTTGTAGTGGGGGCCTGGGGTCAGCCTTTAACCTGCTGGAAAAAGTGCACCAACTTCAAGGTCCAGCGAATCCAATCGTGTGTTGAACAGATGCAACGAAGGAAATGCAACCACGCCTTCGTGTAAGCATTACATCTGATTACAACTCAGTAACAACTGCTCTTTTCTACTCTTTTTGTACCGATTTCATACAGGAAAACATTGATTGTATTACCAGATTGTTGTACAAATCGATGTGTGAAAAAACAAAATGAATTGTGAGAACTGAATGTGGAAGTATATACTGAAGGAAGTTGACTTTTCAGGATCAAAGTTTCAAACCATCTGAATTCAATTCCTTTTTATAACATTTAGTTTACATTTATTTGGGAATTATTTTCCCAACTAGCAATTTCTGCTTTTAATATTCATCTTTTTCAATATTTTTTCAAGTGACACAATGCAAATGAAAATGATGTGATTTGAAATTCAGTTGCTAGTGACACATACAGTATTACTGCCCGTATTGAACTTCATTTAGGTGTAATTTGGTGACATATGGAATTATGTGAAATGGTAAATGTTTGCATGGTTCCCAAACATTCAGATAATGAAAATGTGTCTCTGTTTCCAGGGTTACAAACAAAAGGGGTACTCGTTGCATCAAACCAGACGCTGTGTGGCTCAAAGAGATGATAAATAAGGTGAGAATCTGACAAATCACACAATAAGTCACACAAGCACGAGAAAATGAGGTCATTCAGGAAACCAAATGTTTACGTTTTAAATTACAGAGCGAGTGAAATCGCTCTAACAATACAGATAATCACTCAAGCATCACTCAAATTGTTTTCTAAATCTTTGATTATATTTTCGATTGGGCAACAACAGCAGTTTTAATCAAATAAATGTTTTAAATATGATAAAAAAGCAGGAGTTTCAAAGTACGTACCCACTGGGAAGACAAGTTGAAGCAACTATAAAGCAACAGATCAAATATTAAAACAAATGAATAAATATTTCCTTATGGACTTGTCTAATTGTACACTTCCTGTTCCCTCTCCTTCTCCACTGCAGGGAGAGCTACACTGTCCTCCAGATATTCACCTTTAAAAGGAAGATGTCCATGAAGAAGAAAATCGTCCCGGCGAAGCAGCTACTCTGAACCTTTCCTGATAATTTACTATTTATTCCTTTTAACTAAATATTTATTTATTTGTAACTTATTTTTCTATTTATCTTTATACAGCCATACATAGTGTGGCATTATCTTGTGAATGTGTCAATGACAGTAATGGCAGAGTTTGTATTGTTTGAACCTGGAACTAAAAATAAAATGATGTGAAACTGATAGAAAATGGGAATGGCTTTTGTTTTTCCAC